GATGTACCCTTATTATTAAAATGAATTAATCCTTGCTGAATCAAAGAAAATTGACTGTTATGTTTTTAATTTTTTTCTAGAAACTTTCATAGTATAGAATATATCATCAATCATTAAGATTCTCCACTTTTTATTCTGGTAAAAATAGGATTGTTTCTTGTTTCTCATTATTTTCTGGCTTCATTATTGGATCTATCCCTTATATTCAAATGTGCATAGAAATGTAGAAATATCCAAGGCAAATATAAAAAAAAGCAGATTAGCGATAATTACTCCATGACATAATATCAATTTAAATAATAACATTTATACAATGCAGTTGTGTCAGTGTTTCCCAAGACCCACACCCAGGTTTGGTAATCCACCAGAAGGACTCACGGGACTAAGAAAATGGTCCTTCTAAGTGCTTTCATTTATCACAGTGAAAGGATGCAAAGCAAAATTAGCAAAGGGCAAATGTGGTGAAGTCTAGAGGAAACCAATCACAAGCTCCTCTTCTGTGGAGTTACCAGGATGTGCTTAATTCCCCAAGCTTGTGTTGTCTACCTGTACCAGAGCCTCATTAGAGACTCAGTGCCCAAGTTTTCTACGGAGGCTAGTCATAACAGGCATTCTGTCCCTCACATGTACCCAAATTCCAGACTTCCAGAAGGAAAGTAGCTCTTCAGAGTAAGTCACATTGTATGAAGAGTTTAGGCACAATGTGCCACTCTTTTCACTTATGGTATGGTGGGAATCCTCTCAAAGCCAGTGTCCCAGATGCCAGCCATGGGCCAACTTTGAAAGCCAACGATAGCAGTCTCATTCTTGCTATATGAAATATTTTCTGCACAGCAGTTACAGCCCAACTTAATTTTTGGTGGCTTTAAAATTTTATTTAATAGCAGATAATGTAATGATATAACATAACATGATACTGGTTTCAGTTGCATGATCCATATTAAATTGCAATGCTGTTTACATTTATTTACTATTAGTGAATATTTAACAGATATTTGTACATAAGTCACTATGGTAATACAGGCAATTATAATCTGTCTTTCTCATCTGATTAACCTTTCAGGAAAATTTTAAGTAAAATAAGCATATTGACTTCAGATTTAAAATTAGAATAAAGATTGTCTCGTAGGTTAATTATATGAATGGTCCAGTTTAAATTAATCTTAGTTAATTCACTATTTATAATTATGAAATAAAAAATAATTTTATTATTTATTTTCTTGCCTAAATTGCAATTAAACTTATTTGGCTTATGTATTTTTGCATATTTCAATTTGGGAGGTAATACACATATTCTGTAACTTTGATGGTTAAATATGCCTAATTTTCAAGGTGACTGCATTCTGCTATACTATTAATATATGGTAGTAGCAGGTTCACTGAATATCTATTTTTTCAAATAAATGAGTTTATTTTAAGAATACTTCTAAGTTCAGAGCAAAACTGAGAGGAAGGTACAGAGATTACCCATATACTTCATGTTTCCCATACAGGAACAGCCTCCCCCATTATCAATATCCTTCCAGAGTTGCACATTTGTTACAATTGATGAACCTACATTGACACATCATTGTCATCCAAAGTCTATAGATTACATTAAGGTTCACTCTTGGTGCTGTGCATTCTATAGGGTTAGAGGCATGTATAATGACACGTATCTCCATTGTAGTGTCATATGCAGAATATTTTCTCTGCCCTACAAATCCTCTATACCATGCCTTTTCATCCACCTTTCTCCCCTCCCCATGACCCCCTGATCTTTTTGCTGTCTCCATAGTTTTGCTCTTCCCAGAATAGTCACACATTTTGAATAATACAATAGATATCTTTTCAAACATTTAAAAAATGAAAATTCTAAGGTAATTAAAGGTACTCATTTAAGACAATTCCTTGTTACTGATCCTCTCATTTTTTTTGTTGTTCATCAGTGTGGGTTCTGATGACATATGCTTTATATACTGAAAAAAAAGCATGCTTTCTGTACATATTTGCCACATAATGGGGAGGGTTCAGAAGAATGACATCATGCAGTATTACACAGCACTAACTGGACTATCTTTCTGTATGAGTTGGGTCCAGATAGACTCTTGCAATGGAAGAGGGCAATCTCACAAGGTTGTACTTTATAAAACTTGGATGACAAAGTATTTCATACTTACCATGTAATTGGCAATGAGACCTAACAGTGAATACTATAGGTGAATAAATATGTTCCTCTCTGATTCTTTTCCTTTGAGGGATGAGTTTGACAAAGGTCTATATAATCATAACAAGGCTCGCAAACTAGATTATCAGTCATGAGGAATGCCAAGAGAGTCACACTGTTTTGCTTTACGTGAAGTGAAAAAGCATTTCTTTTCCTTCCACTATGGAGTTGGACAACTGTTGGTCCATTTTTGGAGCTTGAGCAAGTTAAGAGTTTTAGCTACATATATATTTTTTTCATATCAGCGAGTACTCCTTGGAAACTTACCATCACCTCCCCAGTATTTTGTCTTAAGCTTTCCTCTGAATGTGACAAACAGTTCAGAGTCGATAAGCTATTGCTTGAGGGAGTGATCATTCCAGTGGTTCTTTCCATGAGAGATAAAAATGGCAGGTGAGTTTGTGCCTTGCTTGCAACATACATAGGGCAGAAAAATAGCTAGAACTAAGTAAACTTACTAGCATCTGCCTCAGAAGATTAGTGAGAGTAAGTACATTGATCTCTCTTGAGCTCTTTTCCACTGCAGCTGCAAAGTCTTTCAAAGATCCTTGTCCCTGACCTGTTTCCTGTTTTGCCTTGCTTCCAAGTACAATGCCCCTATACCTAGCTTTCCTTCAGTGGGGTGTTTTATCCTAAACTGAACAATTTGAACTAAATCTGGAGAGGCTGTGTTGTGCCATGACAAAATAAGTACAGTCGTCCACCCTTATCTGTGGATATGTTCTAAGACTCCCAGTGAATGCTTGAAATTTTGAATAGCACCAAACCCTATATATACATATGTGTATCCCATAGATACACATATGTATGATATATTTATACACATATATTATATACATACATATATCCTAAAGTTTAATTTCTAAATTAGGCACAGTAAAAGATTAACAATAATAACAATAAAATGGAACAATTATATTATATCTCTACACTGTCATAAAAGTTATGGAGATGTGGTCTCTCAAATTATCTCCTTGTACATACTCACCCTTTTTCTTCTAGTGATGACATGAAATGATACAATGCCTACATGTTGAGATGAGTTAAGTTGAATAACATAGCATGTTTAGACTACATTTGACCTTCTGACTATACATCAGAAAGAAGAACATCTGGATGAACATTTGGATGATCCTGAATCTGGGAGCCACAATGATACTGACATTTGGATATCAGGAGCAGAGCATTTTGATGACTATTGGGTGGATAGCTCATCCAGTTTAGATACTCTGGACAAGGGAATGAGTCAGGTTCTAGACAGAATGGAGTGGGATGGCTGAAGATTTCATCATGCTACTTAGAATGGCATGATGAATGGAACCTGCATTGCACATTTCTAAAATTTTCCACTTAACAATTTGGAACCCTGATTGACCATGGGTAACTGATACCACAGAAATCAAAACATGGGTTGTGATATTGTGAAATACATATGTGGTCTTTGATTTGGTTTCCTGGCATACAATTCCTAAAATTTTTAGACTTTCTGAAGGGATATTTTTGTGTGTGTGAAGCATTGACTTATGGCTGGCAGCCACTAGGTAGCTGCAGGATGGAGGCTGGTCGTCACAAAGACCAAGGCATGATTAGAGGGCTGGGAGTTCCACCCCACCTCCAACCTCCAGGGAGTAGAGTGGGGCTGAAGATAACTTGATCTTCAATGGCCTATAATTTAATTTGTCATATCTCTGTAATGAAGCTTTCATAAATACTCAAGGGATGAGTTCAGAGAGCTTCCAGATAGCTGAATATGTGGAAGTTCTTCTAGGGTGCCAGCTCTGGGAAGGCATGGAATCGCTCTACTCCTTCCTCCATTCCTTATCCTATGCATCTCTTCATCCGTATCTTTTGCAACATGTTTTCCCAAGTTCTGTGAGCTGTTCTAGGAAATTTGTGAAATGCAAAGAGTGAATTACAGGAACCTTGGCTTGAATGTGATCTGTGAGGAGTTCTGGAGGCCCATATTTGTGACTTGTGTGTGAAAAAGCCAGCCTTGGGAACTGACCCTCAACCTGTGGGATCTGAAGCTATCTCCATGGAGATAGTGTTGGAATTGAATCAGAGGACTCTCAGCTGGTGTCTTCTGCAGAATGAATGGCTTGATTGTTTGTGGGGAACCCCCTGCACCACCACCACATTTGGTCACAGAACTCTTTTGTGTTGATAATTACTGTTGTGGTGTGAGAACATATAACAGCAAGGGGGACTGCTGTATACTCTGTTCTTACGGCTCCCTGTCTGTTAGTCCAGAAATCATGCTGTTTAAGTTTGACACTGTCTTCTTATAATACTGATTCTACTAGTGAGACCATTTTCTGTCACTCTGGTAGATTTCAGTTGGGATTATGATTATTGTACACAGTGGTTCATTTGTAGGTATCAAAATTTTGATAAATTCCAGTCTTCCATGCATTTGATAACAATGGGGAGGGGAGGCAAGAGTTACTAATGCATTAATTACCTACCAATAGTATAAATAATATTAATACTAATATGGTCTCCAGGTATGACCCCAAAAGAATACTTTGTAACAAAGCATCAGTCTTTTTCTTATTTTGGTACAAAGTCTAAAACATGTACAGAAGTGTGCATTATTTATTTATTTATTGTGAAGTTGGAGTCTTGCTGTGTTGCTCAGGCTGATCTTATTCCTAGGCTCCTCAAAGGATCCTCTTGGCCCATCCTCTAGAGTAGCTGAGGTTATAGGCACGTAACCCCATACTCTTTTATGCTTTTAATGTTCTATATTTTTCTATTGTTGATTTATAAATATTTTACTTTTTTTCTTTAATAGTGGATGGAATTTCTGAAGACCATACAATCAGGTAGGATTTTGCAGATTTTTAAAAATTGTATGTTAACTAAAGGAATGCAGAGAAAATAACCTAATATTTGAGTGTTCTATTCTGGGATACATACATACCACATTATGTGCTTAACATTTTATATCATCTATAGTCATCACAACTGCTTCATAAAGAATCCATGTTATTACTTTTTACTAATTAAGCAACTGTGGTTCCAAGAAGTTAATTAATTGCCCCATGATCCCATAGTTTGATCATCAGTCTGCCTGGCTCCCAAATGTGTTTTCTTGCCCCTTAGCATAGATCAGTAGAAACCTCTGCAGTATTGGGATCAAGGTACAGGTATAAACTAGATCAATTCAGAAAGTCAGCTTTAGTTATATGTTAATTCTCATCAAGAGTTTTTCTTAGAAGTCCGGTTATTCCAAGAGCTTATCCTCATGTATTTGACAATTACAGTGGTCCTTCTTTTTAACATCAAAGGTTGTAGAGCAGATCTCATTTCACTGTGACCATGGGACCATGGATTTTATATAAGCAAGACTAGGCAAGTCTTAGAGAGGAATTATTTTACTGTAAGTGAAGGATATCTACATATCGGCCATGTTATCATAATTATACTTATCATCTATTTAGAAGTTGTTTCTAATTGATTTTTCTAGTTAATGACTTCCCAGTTTGGTTTTCCCATTAGGCTGGTATCCCTGTGTAAGCCAATGAAGCTTTATAATTTTTTCTATAGTCTTTTTTGTTCTCTCATGATTTTCTGTACTTTTGTCTTAATATTTTTTTACCTTCTACTTTGCATTTCTTGTTTTTTTTTTCATTTCTGCCAGTTAAATATTCCCTATTGTTCTATACAGAGACTCCAAAGCACATAGAAATTCAAGATTTTAAGGAATCTTAGAGATTAATAAAAATATCCGCTGGTACTTTAATCTGTGTTTAACATCCTGGTCAAGTAGTTATTTAGATAGCATACCTGAAACTTTTTACTTTGGTAAATAACAAAGGATTGAAACCCAAAGATATTTAAGTGATTTAGTTGAATATAGTCAGTGGTAGAGATGAGATTTGAACTCATGTTTCTTCATTCAAAGCCCAGTGCTCTTCCTTCTTTATCATCCTGTAGGTGAGTGTTTTAATAATAGAAAGGCGGAGTGGGTCTAGTGAACCCAGTGGAAGAGAATAAGCTGCTGATCCCAGTGGCAGTGGGTAAGGGTGGAATTAGCAGTGGAAGACCAAGTTTGAAGAAAAACAATGCTGGGTTGGAGAGAAATACAGGTTTAAGGAAAGAGATCAGAATATTGGGGCTTCTGACAAGTTTGATAAAGATAAATCATATGAATGAATGAGAAAGGATGTTGGGATTTATCTAACAAGGCACATTAAAATAAAGAGTTCAAGGGAATTCTGAACAGGTTGCTGCTTTTTTTGTTTGTTTAATTGGAGGAACTGGCAAACTTGAAGTTTCTGTCGAAAGATGTTAAAAGAATTTGAGCCACTGGGACAAGTCTCTATAGCAGATGGAATGTGGTATCGTCTACTTCCACTCCAATCTACACAGGGGTGGATTAGAGCTCCTTGAGTACTAGGGGGCTTGAGGTTGCTGAATTACATAGATCTGTGGCCCATGGTGTGTGTCCCCTCACCTCTGCCTTTTTTCCCATTTCACTGATGTCTTTCCCATGTACATGTAGAGTAGAGCAGGGATAAGATTTGCTGGCAAACCAGTCATGGAGCTGGGGTAGTTGGTAACATGCACATTCTGGGAGAGGATGACTGAGACTCCGTTTAGCCTGTTTATCAGGAGGAGGGAAATAGAGGTTTCTTGCTCTTGGTTGTTTGAGCCTATTTCTTCAGGAACCTGAGCTTTATTAGACTGAAGATTGAAAGGTTGGAGACTGCCATGGAGCCCTGCAGAAGAGGGATCTGGAATCGGGAGCCCATAGGAAGGAAGCTACTTAGATAGTACTTTGGGAGATAGAAGTATGACTACCAGGATTCTCTTTTTCCAGTAGTCTCTCTGCTTGAGTATGAATGTTTTTAAGGGCTTGTTAGTTTATATAGAACTATTTGAATAAGGCTGGACCTATATAGGCAAAATAATTGGATATTATAATTTTTAATTTTGTACTCTTTCTTGAAAGAATATCCCCAATAACAACATATAAATTTTTCTTTGACTTTTGTACATTTATCTTTCAAACATTTCAAATGTTTCAGGGGACTCCCTATATGGTTTTAGAGTAAAGGGAAGTAATAGGGCCTTGTTAGGTGGTTTCCTTCTTGTAGAAGCAAGACTGTCAATTTTCTGAGTGATACAGATTAGTCTTTGAAACAGAGACTTGTAATGGAGAAGGGACAGTATATTTTCTCCCTTGTTTTCTACCTCTGTCTTGCAGTTCAGGTAGCAGAAGTTATGTCAGTTGTTAGGTGAATAGACAATTTGTGAAGACATACTCAGGCTTTGCCAATATATTGGCTGTCAATATTTGTTATGAAACTAAAAGTAAGTCTTCATTGAATATTTCAAAGATTGTGAGAGCTGGAGACAGAAGTAAATCACTAGAATATTTCTTAAAACAGAGACCAAATTTTATTAATAATTATATCAAGAAACATCATTTAATATATAGATAACTGACCTTTCACCTTGTTTTATTGTTTTTGACTGGGTGCACTTGGATATAACCCTGCAGATGTTTTTATTTTAAGAAGATGGCCTCACTTATTTTTGTTGTACATTTTTGCTCTAAAGGATTTCCACCAACATGGGTATTGATGATTTATGGCCTATATCAGATGGTGAAGACTTCAGTGTCGATATCAAGGTAAAGTGGTTTCTTGTGAAATTAATTTTATCACTCTGAATCTAATTTTGTATAGTATTTTCTCTTAAAATTTACCAGTGGCTTACCTATGATGATTTTATGTTTATAATAGAAAATTGGTTCCAGAAAATCATTCTATACAAGTTTGATGAACCACTTGTGTTAACCTCTGACTTGTTGTCTTCACCTCTTCCGAATGGAGTGTAGGGAGTTTGGTACCCCAGCTTAAGGTCCAAGCTTGTGGATTGTACTTGTATGAATCCACTGCTCCCGAATAGCTTGAGATGGAAAGCACTGTTTAGCTGTGGGGTTGTTCCTGCTGTCATTGCTTTTAGTTTGTGTGGAGAAACCAGTTACTGAGGTAGCGTATTGTGCCCACGGTAGGCTCTGGTCTCCCAGCCCGAGTATAGGAATGCCTTAAGCTTTGGGAGGGGCGGTGTAGCTCCCAGGGGTTGCTTGGACCCTGCTCCCCCCTGAGGTGGGGAGAGGAGCAAGGTGGATCACAGCTGGGGTGCAATAGACTGAGTGTGTGAGCTTCTATGGGGCTCAGAGGTTGCCTCTCTGGCCATTAGGGTGAGCCACTGATAAAGAGTTGAGAGTTGTCTCTCCAAGTTGGAGGGCTGCTCCTGATGGGAGGTGCCTCCTCATGTGATTGCTGAAGCCTCTGGCCAGATTTTCCATCCATATCTACAAACCTGGTCACTTTCCCCTCTGATGGGTCCACTTCTGTTTCCTCTCCACCCAAGATGGGCTCTTGAGCTTCCCCACAGTTCGTGTGTCTGGCCTGTTGTTGCGTGTCTCTACACGTTGCTGGCAGATAGGGAGATCTCCAATTGTACATTCGTTTTCTGCCACTAGACCCCAAGGCAAGGTGGGTAGGCCTCTCTATCCCCAGAAGTCACCACCAAGGGGAATAATGGCAGTTCATGGAAATCTTGGTTCAAGCTGAACTCTCTATTAAGGTTAGTGGGGATCTGGACAGTTGCTAGGAGTCAGCCTATGCACGTGAGGCATTCAGTTTCCCTAGCAACCAGTACTTATGCAAATTGAGTCCCAATGGCACAGCCAACTCCAATATGGTAGTTCTCTGTGGGGAAGGGGGATGGGGCTCACCCACAGAACCCTGCTCTCCTGTGGCTCATCCACACCCTCCCAATGGGCATGGGTTCTCACTTTCCACCTGTTCTCTATTTTGTTCTATTGGTCTGTTACCTACTTTTATATCAGTAGTTTGCTGTATTGGTTAATATTTCCTTCTAATATAATTTAACATCACATAAAGTGATGCCTCCTGATTTGCTTTTTACTTGGCATTGCTTTGGCTATGTGTACTCTTTTCTGGTATCATATGAGTTTTTGGTTTGTTTTTTCTGATTCTGGGGAAAAAATGACATTGATCTTTTGGTATGAATTGCACTGAATCTGTAGATTACTTTGGCAATATGGACATTTTCACAATATTTTTTCATCCAATCCATGATCATGAAATACTGTTCAAATTGCATCATGTAGGATATTTTTAAATCAGTGTTTTGTAGTTTTTCTTTTACAGATCATTCACAATGTTGGTTAAGTATAGTCCCAGGATTATTTATTTATTTATTTTGCAGTTATTTTAAATGGGATTGAGTTGCTGATGTGATTGTCAGCTTGTTTGTTATTAATGCAGAGAAATGCTACTGATTTGTGTAAATTGAATTTGTAACCTGTCACTTTACTGAATTCACTTATCAATTTCAGGAATCTTTATGTTTTTCTTGGTATAAGATCATGTGATCAGTGAACAGGGATCGTTTGACTTCAATTTTTTCTAATTCAAATGCTCTTTATCTCTTTCTCTTGCCTGGTTTCTCTGGCTAGGACTTCCAGTACCATGTAAATGGGAGTGGTGAAAGTGGGTATCCTTGTCTGTTCCAGTTCTTAAGGGGAATGCTTTCAGATGTTCCCCATTCACTATGATGTTGGCAGTGAGTTTGTTACATATGGCTTTCATTATTTTGAGGCATGTTCTTCCTAAGCCTAGTATGTTGAGGATTTTTGTCATGAGGGTGTTGGATTTTGTTGGATGCTTTCTCTGCATCTATTGAGATTATGATATAGTTTTTGTTTTTAATTCTGTTTATATGGTAAATCACAGTTATTGACTTTTGTATGTTGAACCATACTTGCATCCCTCAGATGAAACCCAATTGATCATGGTGAATTATATTTCTGAAGTGCTTTTTGGTTTGGTTTGCTAGCTTTTTTTTTTTTTTTTGACGATTTGTCTGTTTTCATCAAGGACACTGGCCTATAATTTTCTTTTTTGTTGTTTACTTACCTGACTGTAGTATCAGGATGATACTGGCTTTGTTGTGTGAGTAAGGGAGGATTCCCTCCTTGTCCGTGTTGTGGCACAATTTCGGTAGAATAGGTACCGGTTCTTTTTTGTAGGTCTTAAAAAATTTGTCTGTGAATGCATGTGGTCCTGGGCTGTTTTTTTCATGAGAGATTTCTTGTTAATGATTCAATCTTGTTATTCATCATTGGTCTGTCCAGGATTTCTGTTTCTTCCTGATTCAAGTAGGGGAGTTGTGTGTTTCCAAAAAATGTATCCACTTCCTCTAGATGTTATAGTTGGTGTGCATAGAGGTGTTTATAATAGCCTCAGATTTTCTTTTCTCTTTCTGTGGTATCTGTTGTACTGTCTGCTTTTTCATTTTTTTTTTTTTTTTTTTAATTTTAAACCCAAAGCCAGCAGATGCTTTTTCATTTTGAATTGAGCTTATTCGAATCATTGTCTCTCTCCTTGGCTAATCTGCCTAATGGTCTGTCAATTGTTTTACCAAGAACCAACTTTTCATTTCATTGACACTTTGTATTTTCTTTTTGATTTCAGTTTTGTTTAGTTCTGCTTGGATATTTGTTATTTCTTGTCTTCTGCTAGATTTGGCATTGGTTTGTTCTCATTTTTCTAGTTTCCTGAGGTATGATATTGGGTTACTAATTTGTTCTCTTTCTCATGTAGACATTTAGTGCTATCAACTTCCCTCTTGGCACTACTTTTTCTATATCTTAGAAAATTTTATAGTTTTTGTTGCCATTGTCATTCAATTCAAAAATGTTTTTCATTTCTGACTTGATTTCATCTTTGGCCCAAAGATCATTTTGCAGGAGATTATTTAATTTCTATATATTTGTATTGTTTTGAGAGTTCCTCTTGGAATCATTTCTCATTTTATTCACCTGTAGTCTGAGAAAATAAATACATGGTATGATCTTGATTTTCTGAAATTTTTCTGAGACTTGTTTTGTGGCTTAGAATGTGTTCTGTCTTGGAGAATGTTTCATGTGCAGATGAGAGAAATGTACATTCTGCAGTTTTTTGGTAGAATGTTATGCAAATGTATCTTAGGTACATTTTTTCTATCATCTTGTTTAAGTCCATTGTTTCTTTGTTGATTTTCTGTTTCAGTGATCTACTTCTGTCAGTAGGGTGTTAGATTCCCCCACTATAATTATGTTTCTATTTATTTCTTTTCTTAGGTTTAGTGGTATTTGTGTTATGAATCTGGGAGCTCTGTTGTTATATATTTAGATTTGTTAAATCTTCTTGAATTGTTTCCTTAATCGTTATATAATAACCATCTTTATATTGTTATTGTTGTTGTTTCAAAGTCTATTTTACCTGATACAAGTTTAACTATGCCTGCTTGCTTTTTATATTGATTTGCATGGACTATTTTTTCCAGCTCTTCACTTTGATTCTTTGAGAATCTTTATATATTAAATGGATTTTTTGAAGAAATGATATTTTTGGATTTTACCCCAGCCTAAAGTTTTCCTACATAATCCTTTTCCTCAGTTGTCTATCCTTTCAGTGCCTCTCTGTCTTCATTGTCATCGTATTTAGTTAAAACTTTCTATTGAGTAGCTATGTGTGGCTTTCATTCATCAATCATTGTCTCACAGGTTTGTCTGTCTGTCTTTCTTTCTTTCTTTCACCTAAATCTATACAATAATTTATCTTTAGCATTTTGACAAACATAATAGAAGTGATTTATACTATTTGCAAAACTAACCCATTAAAATAAGTTATTACTAAAAACTGAACTCTAACATTTTCCTTGGCAAGAGGCAAGTCATCCAAATGTAAATCATACAAACACATTTCACAATGTAACTCAAAATTGATTGTTTCATTGATAGTTATTTTACTAATCCTCTAAGTTGACTAGGTACATTTTTGTCCCAGGCTATTTTGGTTAAGAATATAATCTAATGGATATTATAAAATTTGTAGAATAATCAAGTATGGGTAAAGGGAGTAACATTTTGAGGACATCTGTATCATCTTCTCATAATCTTCACCCCATGAGAAGATGTAGATTAGTAAATGACAGAATTGAGGGTTGAATCTATAGCTGAGTGACTCCAAATCCTCTTCTCTTTGTGTTAGATCATATAGTAATGGTGAATATTATAATTATTTTACCAATTTGATACTTGTTATTCTTAAAGCTATTGTTTTTTGTTCTAGGATGTTCCACAACGAAGCTTAAAAAACTTAATTACTGCTTCTCAGCAATTAAATGTTGCTTACATGGGAATAAGAAAACCATGTGAAATTTAGTGGAGGGTTTTATGTTTCTTTCTTACATGATAATAGTACTTAGAAATATCTCATAATTCTGCATCACATAAGTATTTCTCTTCTACAGTTTAAAATTTTAAGATTAATTTAAAAAATAGTCTTCTTGCAGCATCTTGAATTGGTATTTTAGAATTAAATTTTTTATTCAATTTAAAAATGCATATTACCATAATCAAGAAATAAATATTTTCATATATTAATGCTATTGTATCTTGTATCATTCACATATTAAAAGGTATAATTTTTAAAAAATTGAATCATATGTTTTCTTCCTGTTGTTTTCATTTTCAAAATTTCAGAGTTCTGTGTAGGTTTTCATTATTTAATTCTACCAGTTTAGTATATTTAAGTACATTTTACAAATATTCATCCTTTTTGTCTCACTGCCCTACCAACCCTTCACACCCTTTTCCTGCACTTGGTTTATCTTTCATAATATGGCCATATATCTTTGCAGCATTTCCTGTGCTTCCCAGGTGCTTCTCTGCTTTGTGCTCTTACTGTCCTTTATTCATTTTAATGGTAGAAGCAATGAATTATTATTTTCTTTCATTTCATTTATCTGATTCATACATCTCATACATTTCATGCATCTCAACCTCCCCTTGAATCTTATCAGTGTCTCTCAGGATAGTGCCTATGACTTGACAGACACAGTAAATGCTTATTGTCTTACTGACTGACTGAGCAAGTAAGTGAGTGAGTGAGTGAATAAATGCAACGTTTTCTGAAGTTGGGATTTTTTTTAATAGGATAGAGCAACAAAGCCAGTATCTGGACAAAAGGAAAATGGTATTGGTATTATTGGAAATACTCCAAGACAGCAAAAAAATAATGTCAGTTTCATATGTGTGCACACTAATAACAGAAGTGGTAAGTTAGTGAATATCTCTGACAATTTTTGATCCTTAAATGCCATCATGAAAAAAAATTTAAAGTATGTAGCCCCAAATATATTATCCATTTCTTTTAAATATTTTTCTTTTGCTGTCTTTCTTTATACTGTCTAATTTTTCTTCTTAAAACCGGTTCAACCTTGAAATTATTTTTGCTATTAATTTTATTTTATTGAAATAAAAATGAATGGTAATAGACTTGCATATGAATTTAAAATTTACAATAAAAATGTTCTCATGAATGTATCTGTGAATAACATTTTATAGACAAGATGTCTGCATTAGAATCTGGACAAAATGAAGATTCAGAATCATCTCAGGATTTGGAGGTACTGTCTATTGTTATATATTTTAAAATATAAGTATCAAATGATATTAAAACCTAAAATGAGGTATTTTGACATTACATTCTCACCTCTGCATATGCCCATAAGGAATTATTTTCTTATATTTTCAGCTCATAATTAAGAAAGTGATTATTAATACATAGTACAATTCTGCTCATTTGTGGGATTCATTTAAGAAGCTACTATAGTATAGTGCAAAAAAATAAGGCTTAGAAAAGGAATCAGTTTGGGTTCTGATGTTATGTTTATCTACAACCTAAAGAATTATTCCAGGTCAACCTATGGGCAAATGAATCATTCTATGATATATCTAGATGTGTAAAAATTCTAATGATATTGAGATATTGATGATATTGAGATAATGAGAGAAACCATTTGGACTATTGTGTTTTCCAACTTGGAACTTAAAAAGGTAGTATCTGTAACTTGAAGTGTTAGTGTAATTGGGTTGTCAAGTATAGATCTGCAAGCAATATTTCAAGAGAAGGAAAAGTATGGGAATAGTAAATATATAGGACTATAGTAACAAGAGTTTGGTTTAGTGGTGTTTTAATAAGTAGAATTCATTTTTAAAAATAGAACACATTGGATATTTTTGTGGCACCGATGTTTGTACTAGTGTAAGTATAAAGTAATGACACTGTACATTAAGGTGACAACTGTAGAAAGAGATGGGAAGGGTCTGATGATAGAAGAGCTGCTGCACAGTGGTACCAGCACTGAGTGGAAGTCAGAAGGCATGTTAGCATCCTGGTACTGTCACTTACTAGCCATGGAATCTTGAGAGTAATGATTTATTCTATTCAGATATCAGTGACCTTCTTCATAAACATGGTAGTGACATCTATTCCTTAAGTATGTGTAATGAACAAATGTGGGAAGAAATGTGAAAACATTTTTAAAGTGGAGAGTGTTTATACAAATGGAGGACTAAATGATTACACTGATATTCACTGACTTAATAAATATTGAGGGTACTTTTCTTTCTTTCTTTCTTTCTTTCTTTTTTTTTTTTTTTTGAGACACAGTGTCACTCTGTTACTTAGGCTAGAGTGCTGTGGCATCCACCTCACTCACAGCAACCTCAAGCTCCTGGGCTTAAGCAGTCCTTCTGCCTCAGCCTCCCAGGTAGCTGGAACTACAGGCATGTGCCACCATGCCTGGCTAGTTTTTTTTCTTATTTTAGTAGAGACGGGGTCTCACTGTTGCTCAGGCTGGTCTTGAACTCCTGACCTTGAGTGATCCTTGTGCCTCGGCCTCCCAGAGTGCTAGGATTACAGGCGTAAGCCACTGTGCCCGGCCTGAGGGTACTTTTCACAAAACAGAAGGCAGTAGTGCTAAGAAAAAAAGAATGGAAGTTATAACAGGCATATGGATTCCTAATTTGGGTTATGTTAAGTTTGGGCAGACTATTACTAGAGATGTCCCATAGGAATATAGTGATTTGATGCTTGAGATCTTCCCAATGGGATTTTGAATGTTTTGATGTTGATGAAATGTCTGTTATTGAGTACAAACTACATGCTGGGCAGTAAGACACTGAAAATGCAAGATGAGGAAATGTGCTGTAGGAGTAGGAATAAAAAACAAACAACAAAGACCTATAGGTCACTATAAGTTCGGCATATAAATAAAACAGAAACTGTTTGGTTAGAAAATATTGATGTAGTTTGTAGTTAATATGGGGATGGAAGTGAGAGTAGAATGCTGTAGTCAGAGATCTTTCTGAGGGTGACATTTTAGCTGCCCACTTTCACATGACTAGAGAAAAGGAGCCAGCCATGTGAAAGTCTAGGAGGAGGACATTCTGGACGCAGAGATGAGTCGATTACATCTCTTCATTTTACCCTTAAGATCCTGGAATGACTAGGAAGTGGGATAACCACCACCCTACTCATTTTTATTATTATTAAGTATAGAAAAAAATGTGCAAATAAGTGTCCAGCACATTTCAGATGCTTCATGAGTAAATATTCTTATTCTTCCTTATTTATTAAGGCCTGCTATTCTTTTTTGAAGTTTTTTTTGTTTAATTGAGAAAGATTTACTTCATGTATCTCTAATGTTTGCTTCCTTTACTTTGTACATCTCTAAAATTTGCTTGGTTTTATTGAAATATGACATAAAGAAATGTTTTTCTTACTACTTCATCATTTTATTCAACCATTTATACTATTAGTAAAAATTTTATTAAAAAATATTTAGATATTTGCAAGCCCTTGTTTCCAAAATGGTGCAGCTTGTTAAATGAACTATTCATCCTGAACTTTATATACTCTGATGTTTCTTATCATGCTAAGTATCTTATTTTAACACTAAAAATTTCTATAGTTAAAATTATGTTAAATATTTAATTATCTAATTATTACAGTAAGTGTATTATGTATATTTTTAAGTACTCCTATTTCTGGTGGTGATTGCAAAGTACAGTTAGGTATTTTGAAGTTACTTCCTTGTTGAAATGTGCATACCCATTAATATTTTGTCTGGTGAATATACTCCCTTTCTCCATCTATTCTTGGTTTTCAGAGTCAATAGCCATAAATATATAAAAGGTAAGCTTGATGTAGATAACGTATATGAGGTTCCCTATTGAAATGTTTTGATTTTCAATACATGCTTCTCTTGTTTTTAAGTCTAATTGCTTTTAAATAGGAAATTTAGATATTTTTAAGAATATGATTAGGAAATCTTGATGGGACTCATTACTGTTATTTTTTAAATTAAAACTTGTTATTGATACTGCTTTTAACAGAGTATCTCCATGAATCTTCTACAGAAGTATGGTGGTGATTCATGTGGGTCTGAAGTTCACAAACAAAAAAATACAGCCAATAGACAAGTAGAAGGTAAGAACCATATTTTATGAAAAGAAATTCATTTAACAGACCATTTCTTTAAAAACATTTGTGCTGACATATTCTAAAATCCAAAGAATATCATCAAGCATCAAGAAGTAGGCATATGTTTCATCTTGCTCACTTTTGAGAAAAAAAAAAAAGAAGTAGGCATATGTGATAGAGGGTGGTCAAATAAAATAATTCTTCAGAGAAAGGAAGAACAGAGTATTAGAAAGGTGGGAAGCATATAAAGTGAGCTTCTAATACCAGAATGTGTCAGAGAAGTATAGCAAACATTTCTCACTCTTCTTATCTCCCTCACTGTTGGGAAGGCATTAAGGATTGAGGCACCTAAACCTGCAGAACTATATTTTGTCTCCCACAGAGAAATGTAAACATATATGGTCAGCCATGCATATGCATAATTCAGTGTGGTATGAAATGTTACTTCATAGGATAGAATTATGCAGCTCAACATAAAGGCATTGGAAAGAAGAAGAGAGTAGGGTCAGTTATGAAGAAATCAGGGAAGATATAGCCTTATAAACAGCCCATTAGAAACATTATGACTTGTAATGCAGTTTCAGTTTGGGGGACATGATAAGGAGGAACTTGAGGTTAGATTTCAAAAAGGGGTAAGTTCAGGTAAGGGAATGTTGGAAGCATACTCAGTGTAGACCAGCGCATCTCAAATTTTCATCAATCAGCTGGGGACCTTGTTAAAAATGCACACTCTGAGTCAGCAGGTCTGGGATTCTGCATTTCTAATAAGTTCTGAGCTGATGCTGGTGCTGGTGGTCCTTGAGTAAATACTTCCTTTTAGAGAAATCTGGAAGAAGAGCCATTGGATAACAATTTAAGACATTACAGGATCAGGGGAAAGCATTATTATTATTTTATTTCTCAGCTTGTTTGTAGCCAAAGGGGAAGGAGCCAAGTGATTAGGAAGGAGAAATTAGAGATATAAGATACTAGTGCTAAATAAAGAGGAAAGGTGTGGTGGGAATAATACATAAAAAAAAAAAGGGTAGAATAAGGACCACAGATCTAGAGATGACTATTGTGAAGGAAGAAGGATTGTGAGGGGTGAAGGAGGGAGGAAAGAAAAAGTTTGGAAGGTGATTTTGGAGTTGATAAGGAAACTTGAGAGGACTTCAGATGACTTCAGTATATTCACACTCAAACAGAAGCTTAGATTATTGCTGCTCTAAAGGTTACTGGAAGCAGGAAGGAGTGGTAGAATTGGGGTGAACCATAGTAACTTTTTTCTTCCCCATAACTGTCATACATCAAATATACATGTTGTATTAATATTAGTTAATCAAATGAGATTAATTTGAATATAGAAGCATCAGCTGCTTTTTTTAAGATAGCTAAATTTCTGGTAAGGTAATTGTTTTGTAAAAGTTTTTGAAAGACTAACATGGTAACCAAACTAATTTTAGAAAGAAAATTATAGAGTTCATTCCTTGAATACTAAAATTGTTATTTGCAATGAATATTGTACTGATTTTGATATATCAAGAGTTATTAATATCTAATAATTCTGAAGTGATTTGATTTTTCCTTTTTGATAAATATTTCAATATTGAAAACTTAGTATATATTTTTTCTTAGATGTGTTGTTGTGGCTTCTTGCATGAGCGTATCAAGAAAGTTTAAGATGACTAACCCAGAGGATACAAGAAATGTAGGCATACCAATAGACCATATAACTAATAAAAAAGAGGAATATTTTCATTAACTAGCATTCTACAAATGAATACAAGCTGCTCAGTTCAAATACTTTCTGTGATGAGAGAAGAATTATACTCTCAACTGAACTGTGCTGCAACTGAGTACTTCCTAAAATCATAGGATGAATTGAAGAACATGATAATTGTAGTATAATGATACAAGTAATTCTGCTGAGTTCATTCTACCATCAGCTTTGATGGTTATCATCTCAGGGTCATGATTTTCTCCACTGATTAATAATCCCTTTTCCCCTCATCAGTCAGCATGTTCACACAGATCTATGCCCACTTTTCTATTGAGTTAATAGAAATGGCTAATAGTTAATAGAATTTGTGAGTGCATCTTTGAAATGTTGTATGCCTGGGACCAGGTGACATCTGGTGTCTCCCCAGGTTGTTTGTTGAAGTTTTTTTTTTTTTAGTTAGAAGTATTTTGTAAAGAAGTATTCTATCACAGATTTAACTTCCTTTAAACTCTCAATTTATACAATAAAAATGTTATTTTCTATCTATTTCTATAAAGACTACCTTTTATCTCAGTCTTCTAAGTAGTCCATTTTAACTCAATATATGGATTTGTTAGCAGCAGAAGATCCAGAAGTGACATCAGAGGATGAGCAAGAAAGGCATGAAGGAAGTGAAAATAACCAGCCACAGGTATGGAAAAATTTTAATTTAAATTTCTGATTTAACATCATTTTACTTATTTTAATAATGTAACTGGGGCCGGGCGCGGTGGCTCACGCCTGTAATCCTAGCACTCTGGGAGGCCGAGGCGGGCGGATTGCTCAAGGTTGGGAGTTCGAAACCAGCCTGAGCAAGACCCCGTCTCTACTAAAAATAGAAAGAAATTAATTGACCAACTAAAAGTATATATACAAAAAAAAAAATTAGCCGGGCATGGTGGTGCATGCCTGTAGTCCCAGCTACTCGGGAGGCTGAGGCAGGAGGATTGCTTGAGCCCAGGAGTTTGAGGTTGCTGTGAGCTAGGCTGATGCCACGGCACTCACTCTAGCCTGGACAGCAAAATTGAGACTCTGTCTCAAAAAAAAAAAAAAAAAAATGTAACTGGACTAAGCTTTTAGAATAAATAGTTCATAATTTACTATTTTATAATTTTAAACAATTTAAAGTAGTTATAAAACTTAAAATATTCTTAGAATCTCTAGTAACTTATAGCTAATATGTACCTTGGAATTGAAGCAAATGTATTTGAGAATTTTGTTTACTCTTCCATTTTTATAACCTCCTTACATGATAAAGAGGGTGACATCAAATATTAAATTATAAGCAATAGAAATTATGAGCAATTTAACAGTGATGGCCAATGAGCTGGATTCATGTCAAAGGAGTAACCATTGCCAGTGGCTCAAAATTTTCAGTTTTATATTGTCAGTCATTAATGCCATGGTTAAAGATTTATTCTGCCTTGTGGTCTCTAATTGACTATGTCCAGGGTGAGAATAGGGTCATAAAGTCATCTCTACTGTCTTGTTAGGAGAATCATACCTTTAAGAAGGGAACCTTTGGTGTTAGGGTACAAACAACTTTCTAACTTGTTTTAATGTGGGAAATCATGAAATATTACTACATTTTAAAATTCACTGTCGTTAGTGGATGTTAGGCTGTTAGTGGCCTCTGAGTGGAGGTTTTTCCAAGTCCTTGGTGTTAATCAGGAAAAGAATTTCCAGATGGACCATGTAATACAAGCAAGAAGCTTTATATTGAACAAAGCAACAGTGCACTCTCTCAAGAGTAAGAGAATGGGCAGGCTTGAAAAGAGCATCTGCATCAGGAGGAAGTGAATTTTGGTGTTTTCAAGTCTTACTAATTGAGGGGAGGAGTATTCATGATTAACAGCTGACTTTTGCTAAGAATTTGGATAGTAATTCCTAAAATTGGGTTTGTTCTCATTTTAATACTATATATAGTTATCTGTAAGCTGTCCTGGTGATTTCCAGGGTGGAGCAATTTTAAAACCACAATGTAAATGATATTACATTGGCCAGAGTGCAAGTAAAATGACAGAGAGAATAATGACAAGCTAGTTGAAGCTGGTTCTTGCCTGTGGTTAACAGCCCCTTTAGTTAGCTCATGCCTAAGGGTTATTTACTTTAACACCTACACCCACTCTGGAAGCCCCCACATCTGATCTCAGCCCTGTCTCTGAGACTTCTCTTCTAACAAGACTGTATTAGAACTAGTCTTAAGCAGATATTCTGTCTACATTCATGACATTGTCATATTATGGCATATGATTTGAATTAATAGTTAAGAAATTGCTTTTCTTTCTAATTGGTGTGTTGATTTTGGCTCCTCATAATTTAAAGTGTCGTACTCCCCAGTTAGCAATCTTTAGAAAAAGTACTGAAGTGCTACTCTTTCTATTTTCTCTTCATCAATTACTTGATCCATTCTGACTTTCTAATTATAAAAAGCTCATATGTAAAATGGAGTTATCTAAAGATATAATTGTATGTAGAAATAGATTGTTATGTAAATGATGGGAGTTCAGAGTAACTTTTTCATGATCATTATTCCTTAATCAACCTAATTTTCTCTATCATCACTCTTCCAAGTGGCATAAGGACTGGGAAGCTAATTTATCCATATACCACATAATCTTCTGAACAAGAATAAGTGTAAAATAAGTTAATGAAAGTATGCAATAAGGTCTAGGGTTTTTTCACCCTCTAGTGACTTAAAGATGAGTTGCATTTATTTGAACAACGAAATGAAAATGGAATGGGAAGGAAGCAGTGACTGAAAAGAGAGAAATCTGTGCCTAACCTTGAGAATTGCAACAAATATGCACAGCCAAATGAATCTGTTTAATGTTTTTTTATGTGTGCAAGGTTCATCTGTGTGACTCAAACTGTTGGAATTTATAATTCCATCATGACCACTTTAAATACTGTTGAACAGAAATACATATTTTTCCACATAGTTTTTAAAATCAGCACTCTCAAATGTTTGTTGAATCAGACCTTTACATTATATTGCTAATAAGGTATAAGATTTGACATATATGATTTTTATCATATAAGTAGAAAAATCCTCAGCCAAAAATTTAGTATTTGACTCGAAAGTAGAAATATGAGTTCTGTACATTGAGTTTTAAAGCTAGACAAAAATCTAGAGATACTCTTTTTTAAATGTAAATGTAGATGATGGCTGCCCCCACCCCACTAAGGCATTTAATTACTTTGCCAGAGTCACACATTTAATTTATCTGACTACTTTGAGTAGTAGTTTAATCTGGTAATTTATCTGATTCAGCATAATGCAACTGCATCATCTCTTTTGGTGCCATAAGATGCTAGGTCATGCCACTTTAGGAGCTTCGAATGAACCATTTAATCTTTCTTGGTTTTACTCCAATTATCAGTAGGTGATGGAGCTAAAGTAGATAATTACTTATACTATACATCCTCCAGCTATAAAATTTTATGGTTATTGAATGTGAAATTTGGGAAGCATCTCATTTTTCAGAACTCCACACTAGCAACTCAGCAGTTGCACTCTGCTACTTGTGTTGTGGCAAACTTGGTTCGTATATACTTGTGAATATCTTCATTTTTTGATATCTCTGTATCCAAATGAAAAAAGAATGATAAAAGGCAGTGAGCAAAAGATTAATTTGCTACAGAAAAAGGGAACTTTTTCTGGGACTTAAGAAACTTTCTGTTCCTGAAGTCTTACGATGTTGCATCCTCTAAATCTGGCTATTTAATGTAACATCCAGGTGATAAGACAAAAGACATGTTTTATGTCTTTGTCTTTTTCTTTCTGTTTCTGCCAGTCAAATGGGAGTGGAAATTCCTATTAGCCAGAGAAGAGTGGATGTGAATAACAGCAAAAAATTAAGAATGGCCCTTTTAGAAATTTTGGAAAATTCTATTTCATTCAGCCAAATAGAAATGAAGTAAACTTTACAAAAATTTCAATAATTATAACTGTGTGTAATAATACAATTAAAGTAATCACAAAAAATTTAATGATTAAAAATATGACAATTAAGATGAGTGAAGTGATAAAACCAATGCAAAGAGAAAAAGTTATTTTTATTGATGAAGTAATAATTACTCTTATTATCAAACTTTCATTAAAGGTTGAAGAAAGGAAGAAGCACAAAAGCCAGAGAATGGCAGTATCAGAAAACCTGTATGATGGTGCTGCTGATGACAGTGACAATGATACATTACTTCAAGAAGGAAAGAGTGGAAACACTGACAGTGGGCAGTTTCCCAGGATGGACAATGAAGTGTGTGATAGGTAAGCCTGGAGCAACATTTAGCAGTAGATCAATGTATAATACAATACAGCACAATTAATTCTAATTAGATTAATATTCATGAGTACCAAATTTTATGCTTTTCTTAGGTATATTCAGCCTTACTTGGTGATCAGAAAAATGCACATTCATAATGAAATAACATATTTTCCAATCATTACTGGCATTTTGTTATAAAAAGATTAGCAGTATTGGTAAATGTGAGGAAAATGCATTCTCATACACTGTTGGTAAATGAAATTGATAAATCCTTTCTCAAGTGCAATTTAGTAGCATGTATCAACATTTCAAATATGTCACTCCTTTAACCTAACAAAAGCTTAGGACCTGGGACTAAATCCTACAGGAAAACGTGACTTGTATAAACACACATAAATACAAGTTAAGGATGTTTATTCTATATTATACATAACATACAAGAAACCAATATATACATAGATAGCATATGTTAAGGATATATAATATGTGTGTGTTAAGAATATTTATACAAGTGTGTTACATATATATGAATATGTATGTTAAAGATAGTTACTGTAGCATCATCATATCAAAAACTTAGACAGTATAAATATCCATCAATAAGGAAATAGTTACATTGTCATATCCATATAATAATGTCATATGCAACCATTCAAACAATGAGGTTGGATATGTAGTGTACTGATTATTTCACAACTGACAGATATTTAAGGCATTTAGTTTCATGACACATCTTAAGCAAATTGTGTTAGAATTCTTGTAATATCTGCTAAGGTTCAAAAGGAAGCTGCATTCTACATCGCAGCTCTACCTTGTTCCCAACAAAACTGCTAGTTATTAAATTGTTGTTTTTGTTCTCAAATGCATGAGTGCTCACCTATTGGACCCTCACATTAATCCAGATATTGCCAAGGGATTGCATATCCATATCCCGTATAAACACATCAACTTATTAAAAAGGATCTTTAATCTACTAACCAGGTGTTGGCCAACTCTTTCTTTAGAAAGCCAGACGGTAAATGTTTTAGGCTTTGTGAACCACAGGGTCTCTGTTGTAGTCCGCAAACTGTCATAGACAGTAAATGAATAGACATTGTGGTGTCCCAATTAAACTTTACTAACAGACAGTGAGCTTGACTTGGCCCCAAGGCACTAATTTGCTGACCCTTGTGCTAAAACCAAGGTGCTGCTAATGCAGTGAATCTTCTTTTTAAAGATACCCTGACTGCATGCCATTAACCTTTTTTGTGTGTGTGTGTGAGACAGAGTCTTGCTCTCTTGCCTAGGCTAGAGTGCTGTGGCATCAGCCTAGTTCACAGCAACCTCAAACTCCTGGGCTCAAGCGATCCTCCTGCCTCAGACTCCCGGGTAGCTTGGGACTGCAGGCACATGCCACCATGCCCGGCTAATTTTTTCTATTTTTAGTTGTTTGGCTAATTTCTTTCTATTTTTAGTGGAGATGGGTGCTCCATGCTCAGGCTGGTCTCCAAATCCTGAGCTCATGCAATCGTCCCGCCTCAGCCTCCCAGAGTGCTAGGATTACAAGTGTGAGCCACCGTGCCAGGCCCATTAACCTTTTTTTTAAAAAAGATAATGTATGTCAGTATGCATCACATCATATTTTCAACAGTGACTTCATATTACATAACTCACAGAAATTCAGTTTAAAAAAATGAGATTATTTTCTGCATTTTCTCCTTTTATTCCTGTCATTGAATCTATATATTAGTATGAATGATTGCTTTGTATATTTGATGAGTATAAAATATCCTGCAGTTGGATCATTTTTCTAAAGGCAAAAATACTGCACTTGAATATTTTGGTCTTTCTGTGGTCTTTTTTTATGAGTATGAGCAAAATGATAATCAGCTTATATATTGAGAAATGTTCAAGGTATCTTATAATTCTATAATTTTTGTGAATTTATTATTTAATACCTTGGTCTGGCATTTTTTAAAATGCCATATGTATATAATTTTGAAACCTTTAAACTGTGAAAATATACTATATCATTATTGTGTAGTGATTCAAATATATAGCTAAACAAGAAGAACATTAGAGCATCCATGATCATGCTACTTAGGTGTGATGGCCTTGAAAAAACTGTCTCTGCTCATGGACTCAAATTTCTTTTCCATTCACTCTTGAACTCATTCCAGCAATTTTCACTCCCACCACTACTGCAAAATTGGTTTTCTCAAAGTTCTCAGTGATTTTTCACTTTAATAAATCTAGATGTAATATCTTAGAGCTCCTTTTACTAATTCTATCAACAATCTTTTACCCAGTGAAAAGTTCTCTCCTCCATAATCCTTTTTTCCCTTGACTTTCAGGATATCACTGCCTCACCTGGTCTTTCCTCTTTCCTCTCTAGTTCATCCATCTTAGTCTGTTTTGTGTGATTGTCCTCACACCCCACTCACACATTGAAGTGTCCCAGGGCTCAGTCTTCAGTCTTCTTATGACCTTTACTACCTTGTGTGTGCTAATGATTTCCTTAATTCCAGACATATACACCAAACTGCCTACTTGACCCCTCTCTCTGGGTAGCTGTTAGGTATCACAAACTTAATCAGGTCCAAAATGAGCTTTGTGCAGCGGCGGTATCATAGCCAATGAGGTTTATCCGAGTCGCGATTATTGCTAATTGAAAACTTTTCCCAAAATTGAGCTACTGATGTTCTTCCTCTTACCCCCCCTCCTCATGGAGTCTTTCCTACTTGAGTTAATGGCAACCCTTCCAGTTACTCTGACAAAAACCTTGAGGTAATCTTTGACACATCTCTCTCTCTCTCTCTCTCTCTCTCTCTCTCTCTCTCTCTCTGACATCAAATATATAATCTATCAGCAAAGCTTGTCAGGTCTTCCTTCAAAATATATGCAGAAGCCTTTCACATCTTACTTGTCTAAGCCATCACCATCTGTTGTCAAATGAGTGTAATACATGATCTGACCTTTAGTCTCTCTGACTTAATTTTTCATTTTTCTATCCCTTTACCTCTGCTACTGCCTCACTGAACTTCTTGCTATTCCTTAAACTCTCCAGGCACACCTCTGTACTTGGTAGTTCTCTGTTTTTAAATGGTTTCCCTCAGATATCTTCCTGGCCACTTTTTGTCTATTCCTTCAGTCCTTTACTTAACAACCATTTTCTGAGCAAGGCCTTTTCTAGACATGCTAACATTTCCCCCATCCCTCTTCTCCCACACATAAACATTTCATTATCCTGCTTTACCTTTTCTCCTCTAACATGTGATGTAGTTTGACCATTTATTCTGTTTATTGTCATTGAGTTTATTCTCATGAGTAGGACATTTATGTGTTCACTAGCATGTAATGTAGTAAGTCCATACCTTTGTATTAACTGAGTGTATGCAGTTTACCCTGTGGGTATTATTTTAATCATCAGACTAATTCTCATTTAAAATCACAAGGATGTGGTATATGTATACCATGGAGTACTATTCAGCTCTAAGAAACAACAGTGATATAGCACATCTTGTGCTTTCCTGGATAGAGCTGGAACCCATACTACTAAGTGAAATATCCCAAGAATGGAAAAACAAACACCACATGTACTCACCAGCAAACTGGCACTAACTGAGTAGCACCTAAGTGGACACATAGGAACTACATTAATGGGGTATTGTGGGGGAAGGGGAGGGGACGGGTATATACATACATAATGAGTGAGGTGTGCACCATCTGGGGGATGGTCACGCTTGAAGCTCAGACTTGTTGGGGGGGGGCTAGGGCATTATTTGAAACCTTAAAATCTGTACCCCCATAATATGCTGAAATAAAAAAAATCACAAGGATGGAAAAACACCATGCACCATGTGTATTCACCATCAAATTGGTACTAACTGTTCAACACTAGGGTGCTCACATGGTAGTAACACTCATTGGGTGCTGGTCATGTGGAGGCTTGGGGGGATAAACAGCTAACTAATGGAAGCAGAGCGCACTGTATGGGGAAAGGGCAGCCTTGTAGCCCTGGCTTGGGTGAGACAAATGCATTACATGTAACCAAAATGTTTGTACCCCCATATTATCCTGAATTAAAAAAAATTAAGCTAGAAATATTTTAGGGATCATTTAGTAGAGTAGGATTTTTCATTTTTGTGAGGGTCACTAGATTCCTCTGTACGGTTTATAAAAGCCAGAATCCCTTTATTAAAAATATGAACATGAGCACAAATACAAATATTTTGCATAAATGTTACTTTATTTCATTATGAACTTATTTTTTCATGTAAGTAGAATATTAGAAAAATTTGTGAATAAAAAAAGTATGACATAGGTTCATTGTGACAATTTTACCTGGTGATTATGTATTTTTACATTCTTTTGGATATTTCTAATAAGCTATATTCCTTATATTAACTTATCTCCATTTAGAGAGAAAAGCCCAATAATGTGTTTATTCACTATTTATTCTTTTACTGTAATTATGATTGTTTTAAATATGGTAAGACAGATCAATGGAATTGCAAACTTCATTTGTGTTTTATTAAGAAAAGTAAAATATAAGAAAAGTAAATTTAATGAACTTAAAAATTCTTTCCAAAGGATGATGAGCCTTCAGTATCTGAAATAAGGAGATAAGGTTGGAATTTAGTGTTTTCTCTAGTAAGAAAGCTATGCTGGTGAAGCACAGTCTCTTCTGACAGAGCAGCTGCTGATCTTATACAGGGTGTGGGGAAGAGTGTCATTTAAGGACTGACAGCTTTTCAGAGGAATACATAGGCTGACATCATCTGTAGTAGCACGGTTAGTTGCGTGACACAGTGGTTGAGTGGTGGGCACTCCTAGGCATGTTTATTGGAATCAGTTTGTGTCTGACTAGCTGTCTTTCAGAAGGAAATGGCTGACATTGATTGGTGAATGAGGCCACTGGTCACTGATGGATTGACTATTTTTAAAACTACTTGGGGGTGGCTGCTTGTTACCATAGCTACAGATCAGTCATTTTCTAAGTGTGAGGACCAGATATTTTCTGTTTAAAAGTTGCCTTCTATCAGCTACATTCAAAATGAAAACTGCTTTTTATGCCAGAATTGTAGACTTATTTTTGCAGTTTGAGTCAAGAGCAATTGTTCAGTAATTGCTCTCAGGAAGATATCTCCCCCTACCACTTTTTTTTTTTTTGCCTGCTTAGTCTTAACCAGAGCAGTTATCTACATGATTTGTTTTGTAACTCTTAGTTTTGTCTTTGTTTTTGATATTGTTAGGGATCATGCTCAACTCCTAACATAATCTCCTGTGGGAAATTTCAGTATGTGTGTAAATTTATATAGGTATATGATAGTGATTTTCTTACACATGTGTTTATTCCACAGAAAGTAAATACACTTTTCTGTTGGTAAATCCAACTATTTACATTACAATTAGCTAGGCTAAAAGTATACAAAAGTCAATAAATTATTTTATTTTCAAACAAAATCATAGTTCATTACAATATTACGATTTGTAAACCATATAGAATGATATATAGGTATTCTAAAATTAAGATATTTCCTGATTCCTTACATTCATGTTGTATATGCCTCATGCTATTTTATAACTTTTGAAATGAAACATTATCATATTTAAACAGAAAACCAAAAATATAGCACAAATCTAATTATTGCTCTAATGCCTAAGAATCATTGCTTGTAGGCAGTGAGCTCCAGGGTTTCAGTAGCAGTCAGGTGAGCATAGCATTCACCTCTCATTATTTGCTTCTATGTATTTTACCCTTTCCTTGCAAGTTCCTAAGTAACACCTACACACCATGTGCCTAATCTCGGTGCTCACATTCTTTCTTAAGTAGCTTGGCTTTCTTCTACTTTCCACCTGGTAAGCTACTTTTACATTTTGTCTGTTCTGTGAAACCTTCCTTGGGTTCAAATAGAACTTTTCTGAAAGATCCACTCTTATGTGTCACATTGTATCATAATTGCAGTTGACCTGTTTTTTGAAGCAAGGAATATACATTTCCTTGCATGTTGTTGACATTTCATAACTGTTTTTTAATTAATAAATGAATTGAAATGAAGAAGACTCTTAATTTTATAAAATTTGTATCTATATTGTTAATATAATTATTAGAAAACATTATCTCTTTTATGTGTTTTTTTTTGAGTATTAGTCCTGCATTGCATATAAGGAAAGGAAAGAAAGATGAAAATGAAAAGTGGACCTCAAACGAATCTGTGATGAGCAGTGTATGAGAAGGCCAGTTCACTAACTGGTGGTTTGAATGATGACAGCACTTGAAGTGAAATAGACAGAATGAAGGAAGATAAAATCTATAAGTCCTTTATGTCCTTGTGAAAGAATGTTAGCAGTGATTAATTTTACTGGAAATAGAATAGTGTAGTCTGCCAAAGCTAGACAATACTCAGCTGTATCAATGCTGTGAAATGATTGATTAAGATGAGGACAAGTGAACTTGGACAAGGAGCAGTTTCAATAAATGGTTCCCATAGAACCCTGACTATAGTGGATAGCATAGACAAGTCTTGAGTGCAGTTTTCCTGGGAAAGGCAATGGGAAAACAGGTGGTAACTGAAGAAGAATGTGGGATTCAAGGGAGTTTTCTTTCTTTATTTTATTTATTTATTTTTATTTCAGCATATTATGGGGGTACAAATGTTAAGGGTATATTGCTCATGCCCCCTCCCCCCTCAAGTCAGAGCTTCAAGCGTGACCATCCCCCAAACGTTGCACATCTCACTCATTATGTTTGTATGTACCCATCCCCTCCTGCCCCTACCACCTGCCCCACACCCGATAAATGTTATTTCTGTATCTCCACTTCAGTGGTGTTCCGTTAATACCAATTTGCTGGTGAGTATATGTGGTACTTGTTTTTCCGTTCTTGAGACACTTCACTTAGTAGAATGGGTTCCAGCTCTATCCAGGAAAATACTAGAGGTGCTATATCACTATTGTTTCTTAAAGCTGAATAGTACTCCATGGTATATATATACCACATTTAATTTTAATTATTTTTTTTTTTTGAGATAGTGTCTCGCTTTGTTGCCCAGGCTAGAGTGAGTGCCATGGTATTAGCCTAGCTCACAGCAACCTCAAACTCCTGGGCTCAAGCGATCCTACTGCCTCAGGCTCCGGAGTAGCTGGGACTACAGGTATGCGCCACCATGCCCGGCTAATTTTTTCTATATATATTAGGTGGCCAATTAATTCCTTTCTATTTATAGTAGAGACGGGGGTCTCACTCTTGCTCAGGCTGGTTTCGAACTCCTGAGCTTGAGCCATCCGCCCGCCTCGGCCTCCCAGAGTGCTAGGATTACAGGCGTGAGCCACCGCGCCCGGCCTATACTACATTTTATTAATCCACTCATGTATTGATGGCCATTTGGGTTGTTTCCACAACTTTGCAATTGTGAATTGTGCTGCTATAAACATTCGAGTGCAAGATCTACTTGCATCACTTTAAGGTATCTCCATATTGCTTTCCACAGACGTTGAACTAGTTTGCAGTCCCACCAGCAGTGTAGGAGTGTTCCTGTCTCTCCGCATCCACGCCAACATTTATTGTTTGGAGACTTTTTGATAAACACCATTCTTACTGGAGATAAGTGATATCTCATTGCAGTTTTGATTTGCATTTCCCTTTGATGATTAGAGATGTTGAGCATTTTTTCATGTGTTTGTTGGCCATTATTCTGTCTTCTTTTGAAAATTTTCTGTTCATGTCCTTTGCCCACTTTTTGATAGGGTTGTATGATTTTTCCTTGCTGATTTTTCTGAGTTCTAAATAAATTCTAGTTATCAGCCCTTTATCAGATGTGTAGCTTGCAAAAATTTTCTCCCATTCTGTGGGTTGTCTGTTTGCTGTCTTGACAGTTTCTTTGTGCAGAAGCTTTTTAATTTGATCAGGTCCTATTTATTTATTTTTGTTCCTGCTGTGATTGCCTTTGGGGTGTTCTTCATAAATTCTTTGCCTAGGTCAATGTCTAGAAGAGTATTTCCAACGTTTTCCTCTAGAATTCTAATAGTTTCACACCTAAGGTTCAAGTCTGTTACCCAGCGTGAGTTGATTTTTGTGAGAGGTGAAAGGTGTGGGTCCTGTTTCAGGCTTCTACATGTGGCTATCCAGTTTTCTCAGCACCATTTATTGAATAAGGATTTTTAAAGAGTGTATTTGTGTGCTGTTGGGAATGATCCAGTAGAGAGGGACATGTATGTGAAATTTAGTTTTGTTTACATGTCTAAGCACTAGAAAGCTTGATATGTTAGGTTTTGAACATTTGTAGTAAACAAATTGTCCTTAGAAGTTTTATTCATGTATAATTTTATAGTGGGATGTTATTTCTTCAGAATTGGTTCAGAAATGAAATAGTCTAATTTAATTAAACATGCCAATGATGACCCAGAAGTTCAACTATAATACATAGAATTTTAAAAAGTGTAGTAATAAACCCACAAACACTTCAGCCATACTTATTACAATTTAAACATTCATTTTTAACTGTATATATTACAGTACCTTTGCCAGTAATATAATGAATACCTATGATTTAGTAAGGTGCTTTAAAGTAACAGGTGTATGTGTCACCTTTATAATTATTTAGATTCTGGGGAGAGGGGGAGGGTTTTCTTCATATACAATAAAAAAACAAACTCTTACTATCTACCACAGATTATTACTTCTCGATTGTAAAGTTGTAAAGCATAAAAAAAAGTTTCCCTGTACCAACAGTGTCATTTATATAAGTATTTGTTGAATACTTATTTTATTACTTATTAATTTATTATTATTTATTACTTATTAATTAATTATTTTATTACTTATTAATTTGCTGAATAAGTATTTGTTGAATGTATGAATGAACAGTTGAATAGATGAGTGAATGCATATTGATGACTTTCTGTAGAAGAAATGAATTTTTAGTTTATTAAAAGTAGGTTTTCAAAATTGCCTGGATATAAAACCTTTTGAGAAAACATTTACAAGATTCAGAAATCATTATATATGATTTTAGCCAGAAATGGAATGATAATGTGGTTTTCTCTGCTATCATCTCACTTTTTAAAAAATATTTATTTATTTTATTTCAGGATATTATGAGGGTACAGATATTTTCATTACAAGTGTTATTTTCACAGCATGTGGTGACACCCATGCTTCGGAGCCAGTAATCCTGGGTGTTTGAATGCTGGGTCTGCTTGGGACAAGCTTTATCGCTTGAGCAAGTTCTGTGGCCTTTCTGGGCCTAGCTTCTTCCTTTATAAAATACCTAATGTGGTACCTACCTCACAGAATTATGGCGAGGACAAAAATGAGTTTGCTGCATGCACAGTGCTTAAAATAATGCATAATATCTGCACAATAAGTCCTGAATGAGTTAGACAATGACATTGTTAAAAAAGGGTTTCCCTCGTTTAAGGACATAAGTATCATTTCCCAAATAGGTTTTAGGCCAGTAAAAGCTTCTTTTTAGTGAAAAGGAGAATAACAACAATCAAAATACCCTGGTATATTTCTTTCTATCAAATAATGCAGATAACATGTTTTTCCTTTTGCTTTGAATGTTGGAAAGCTTGATCTAAATTTAATTCTTCGTTATGATATTATTGATATATTTTCTTTATCTCTTAATATTGCTATCGATTGTTTAAACTTCCTTTTAAAAATTATTATCTTTTATGTTACCTATAATCTTTTGAATAAGATAAATAAATTTATATATGAATTTTACTACATAAAATTAGACATTTTAGATATAAAAAAATTTTACTTATTCTTTTTATTTTACATATTTATTATTTGCCTGAAAGAAATTGTTTTGTTTTTCTAGGCCTGCAAAAATAACATCTAATGAAAAGAACAAGGTATTTAAAAATAAAGTATTAAAAATATTATTGTTAGAGTATAGATTATACAACATAAAATAAGAAAATAGAGAATATTTTGATGATTAAGAAGCAGTAGCCATTGATAAAGGTATCCTTTGAACAAAAATCAGTTCCTTTTAGAAGAACCTGTGATTTTACTCATCTTCTTTACATTTTGTTTATGCTATGAGTATTTTGGAGACATATTGAAGTAGTGTTATTTATTTTGTAGGTCAAAGAACAAATACATTCTATGGGTGACTATGATGACTTAACTTGGTCATCTGATTCTACCCCAGAGGATTGTGAGTTGCCTTCGTCTTATTATCAGCATTTTATGTTGCTTGTTAAATAGCTTGGAATGTATTGTAAAGGTAGAATCCTTGTATAAATCTTAGGCCTTCTTACATATCCTATAATAACATAGGTACCCATTGCTTAGCACTGCATTGTAAAGCACTGATGTATTATAGTCACGTTCATCCCAGAAATATACTTTATGTTAATGTAGAATTAGAACTAATGTATAGTGTACACTCTGAACCGAAGAGTTATTATAATTCTATTGTGCTATTCTCAGTATGAATGGCACCCCCAGTCTTTTTGTTGACTCTGCTTTTCCACTATACCTATATTCAAGGGTAGGTTACCATTAACTCCCACTTGGAATACTGGAATAAACTTTAAATCATTTCCTCTTCTACTCTAGCTGCCCAAACTGTGGTCTACTCTTCAACCATAATTACATATTTTAAAAAAGTAGATCTGATCAGGGTCCTCACTTGCTTAAAATGCAGCTATCACTTCTTGTTGCTATAACGTTAAAGATCTCAATTCTCTAGCGTTATCCTCCATTATTTTCTACCCTTTTTTCTCTCTGTATCCCAGCCACTGTCTCAGATGCTTGTTGCTATAATCAGTAGCTTTCATTAGGTATAATTCATTTATGATAAACACATATATAAAGTATACAATTTGATAATTTTTGACATATATGGAGACGTGAAACCATCACTGCTGTCAAGATAGTTAACATTCATCACACACAAAAGTCTTCTCATTCCACTTTATAGTCCTTTACTAAGAAACTTGGCCAGGTGTGATGGCTCACGCCTGTAATCCCAGCACTCTGGGAGGCTGAGGCGGGAGGATTGCTTGAAGTCAGGAGTTCAAGACCAGTCTGAGCAAGAACAAGACCCTGTTTCTACTAAAAGTAGAAAAAAAATTAGCCAGTCAATTAAAATAGAAAGAAAAAATTAGCCAGGCATGGTGGCTCGTGCCTGTAGTCCCAGCTACTTGGGAGGCTGAGGCAGGAGTATCACTTGAGCCTAGGAGTTTGAGGTTGCTTATGACTAGGCTGACACCATGGCATTCACTCTAGCCTGGCAAAAACAAGACTCAGTCTCAAAAAAAAAAAAAGAAACTACTCGATTGTTTTCCAAAGTATTTCTACAATTCTCCATTCCCATCAGCAGTATCTGACAGTTCCAGTTGTTCTGTATTGTCACAAACATCATGGATTGCCAATTTTTACAATTTTTATTTTTTAGGCATTCTGATGCATGTGTATTGTGCATATCATAATGGTTTCAATATGCATTATCCTAATAACTAATAATGTTGAGCATCTTCCCATGTGCTTATTGGCCATGTGTATAACTTCTTTGTGAACTATCTTTTCAATTCTATTGGTACTTAAAAAGTTGGTTTGTGTTCTTATTTGGTGAGTTTTAAGAGCTTTTAAAAATATTTGGGCCGGGCGCGGTGGCTCACGCCTGTAATCTAAGCACTCTGGGAGGCCGAGGGCGGATTGCTCAAGGTCAGGAGTTCCAAAACCAGCCTGAGCGAGACCCGTCTCTACCATAAAATAGAAAGAAATTAATTGGCCAACTAATATATATATATATAAAATCAGCCGGCATGGTAGCTTGTGCCTGTAGTCCCAGCTACTCGGGAGGCTGAGGCAGGAGATCGCTTGAGCCCAGGAGTTTGAGGTTGCTGTGAGCTAGGCTGACGCCACGGCACTCACTCTAGCCTAGGCAAGAAAGCGAGACTCTGTCTCAAAAAAAATAAATAAATAAATAAAAATATATTTTGGATATTTTTACTTTATGAACAATGTATTTTTTGCAAGGACTTTGTCCCAGTTTGTGGCTTGACTTTTCATTCTGTTAATCTTTTAGAGAAAATGTTATAGTTTTGATAAAGTCCAATTTAACTATTGGTTCAATTATTTTTATGTCATGTCTAAAAATCCTTTTCCCAGCAAAAGATCACAAAGACTTTCTCCTGTGCTTTATTCTAGAAGTTTTATAGTTTTAGGTCTTATATTAATATTTGGATCTATGTTCCATTTTGAGTTCATTCTTGGTTCTTGATATTCAATTGTTCTGGCACCAGAGGGTATCTTTACATTGATATAAGTAGTATTTAATTATTTCAGCGATATTTTATAGTTTTTAGTATATAGGTTTTCCTTATTTTACCAGTTTTATCTGTATTTCATTGCTTGATGAAGTTGTAAATATTTTTAAAATTTTAATTTGATTGTTCATTGATGGTATGATTTTTTCCCAGCCTGGCTCATGGGATGACCACTCTTCCTGGCACTGTGTGTGAACACCAGGCATGGTTTCCTCTATTTCTTTTCGTTGTTTTTTCCCCCTTGGTCTTAGGTAGTTTCCTAGCACACATGCACTGTTCATTACTCTGCTAAATACCCAACAGAGGATCTCTGCAGATCTCCAGGTTTCTTTCCCTGTGCTGCTCTCTCCTCTCCTGTGTTCTGTCCTGTGATCTCTGTCTGCCTTGGTTTTACCAGACTCAGCTTCATCACCTCAACTCAGGGAGTCTGGAAGATTCTACCTGAGGTTTTTTTCCTCCCTTAGTCATGGCCTGGAACATGTGTCAAGGCAGAGAGCTGGGGCATTCAGAATGCTTACTTCACTTGTTTCCTTTCTTTCAGGGATCCTGATCTTCATTGCCTGAAGTCCACTGTCTTGAAAATCATTGTTTAATGTCCCTTATCTGTTTCGTTTTGGTGCTTTCAGGTAATAAAGGCAGTCAGCCCTTGTTACTCTAACTTGGCTGGAAGAAGATTGCAGCGGAGCTTTGGCACAGTCCATAGAATGTTTTCCTTCTCCCCTTTTGATCGCTTTCTTTCCATCCTTTCTCAGCAGAGCCACCTCTTCCTCAGAGAAAGCTTCCCTGGGCCCAGTGTAGATCAGTTTTTCTTATGTGATCAAAGAACTCAGTTTTCTTACAATATCTATCTGAATTTATAATTATCACTTATTTTGTCTTTGTTCTTCACCATGTTGTAAGTATTTAAATAAGAACAGATGTCTGTTTTATCTGTGGAGCTGAGTATAATGTCTTCCACTTTGTAGGCACTCAATATATATTTGTTTAGTGTATGAATGGGTGAATGTTAAATGTACAGTCCTTTATATGCAAAAAGTGCTCATATGTTTTATGTCTATCTTTTTTTCTCCCTAAAACAGATTCTGCTAGCTTCTTGAGAATGCAAGATGCAGTTCTTTCATGTGCTAGAGAAGTAGAACTTAAAAACGATCACTGTGAAAGACTTACAGTAAAAGTTAAAAAGATGGAAAACATGATTAGAGTCCTACAAGAGGAGATCTGTGAAACAAAAGAAATAAAATCACAGTTAGAGCATCAAAAAGTTGTATGGGAGCATGAACTGTGTAGTTTGAGGTATGATATCCTAGTTTTAAAGAATGTTTGTACTGTTTATTGTATACCAAAAATATGTGGGAGAATTTGAGTACTCTCTGACTTACTTTCTGAGGTTTAATGGGGTAAAATTTTGGTGTCGTAGAATGTAAAATTCTTCAAAATAATACAATAAGTTCTTAACTGTGAATACATCTACTAATAATGAAATGCATACTCTTTGAAGTCTTTTTTAATGGCTATATAGAAGTCCACCATATGAAACCTCATTAGTGATGAAATTACATTTTGGGTTTTAAAAAATTATTTTATTATAATGAATGCTACAAAGCACAGTTTTGATATAAATCTTTCCCAATTTTTAATTATTTACTTTGAATAAATTCTTCAATATTTGGTTAAAGGATAGAAACATTTTATAAAAGATCTTTGATCAATATTTATTTTTTTCTGAAGAAAGTTTGTATTAATTTATAATTCAATAGAATGTAAAATGGCCATTTTTCTCAAGCCAGAATAATTTTTGAACATTTTACACAGTTTTATTCTGAATATCCATGGATGAAAAAATAACATGGAAAGTGATTACTGACTAGTTCCTTCAACATCTCTCATACACAGATAAAATTAATTCAAAATTCTATGTTGAAAATACAAATTATCCTTTATTGTTTAATTAAATATTAGATCCTATCTTGTTCCAAAGGGAACTTTAAAATTATTTATAAAATATATAACAATGGACAAGATAATTTAAATGTGTTACCTCCCAAGAAAAAGAAATGTAAAAGGTCTGGTATAACAAATGTTAGACTCCTTAGGATAGTCTTGGATTATAGTAATCTGTACATACATGTTGCATGAATGACATCTGAAGGTGCTGTCTTACACTGTAAATTATTGTTAGGGATACCTATAATATTTCATGAACATGAAAATTTGTTTCTATTGAATCTATAAACTTGTTTATAAACAGTAACATTTTTTCTAATTAGTTAACTCTAAATGATCTGCCCTAAGTGAGAAGTAATTATGATTGTGTGAAAAAAGGTAATTTTTAACTTGTAACTTTACTGAATCATTTCCAATATTCCTTTCCATAATATTTGCCAGAGTTACCAGTAACAGAAACTTACCAATTAGCAGAGAGTTCTTTCATCAGTACTTTTCAAGTCTTTTGGAAGAGATTAAAGTGAGAAACTGAAAACATGAGAATTAGAAAAAAAAATTCAAGGACATAGAAATTTTATTAGGATAATAGACCAACATATGAAGCAGCAGATCATAAAATGAATCTTTTATTTTCTAATAAAACGAATTTTAAAAGATAAGCATATTTAACTGCAGATTTAACTTAAAAGAAGAAGAGGAGAGAAGAAATGCTGACATGTTATCTGAAAACACTCGGGAAGAATTAAGAAGAAAAGCAGAGGAATATAGGAAAGAAGTTGAAGTGAGAGAACAACTTGAACAGTTTCTGAAAACACGAAACACAGAAATGGGTATATTAAGAAATGATTTGTATGAGGTAAATTAATCTTTGGTAAAAAATTTATATTTTTAATGTTATGTCACCAATATTACTTATAATATCCATTTGATTCAATATATATTATTTAGGTTTAAAACAAAAGTCATCTTAAAATGATCTATGACATTTTTACCTAAAATTATTTATTTTAAATGTTGGTATCTAATAGATGGTCAGTATATGTTTCATGCATGAAGGAATGGAGGGTAAGTTGAGTTTACTCACTAACTACAATGTTAATTTAGGTATTTTTATATTAGTATACAATACAGTCTAAACAGCTTTGAAACTATAATTAAACTAGTTTAATGTTTTGTAAAGATTTTTTCATAATACTGTATCTACCTTTATTTAAAACTCTTACTCTTTTAGCTGCCATTTGTTCAATTAAAATTTGAGTAATTCTTGAGAGGTAGAGGTCCTTGTGTTTCAATAGGCTATTTCCTTTTAACAATTTTATTAAAGGTTATGCTCTTAAGGTCTTAGACTGTCTTTTTTTTCTTTTCCTGATGCTATTACACCAAAAACTTAATGTATCTCTCTAGCTTGCACAAAAGTACAATGAGACTCAGAGGCAGCTTCACCAAGAACAGAATGCTGGGCTATTGCAAGATGGGATTCTGGCCCATCACCATTGCAAACAGAAGGAGACAGAAATGGTTTTAAAGAAAATGAATTCAGAAGTATTTTATTTAGTAATTTTCTAATATATGTGTGTATGCAGTAATATTTATGTATATATTAATATTTAAAAATCCAACTATATGCATTTTAGAAAATGTAGAGGATTTTTAGCTCTCTCTCTCTGTGTGTGTGTGTGTGTGTGTGTGTTGGATTTTTGTCCCATTGGATAAAAAATACTATTTTCAATTCAACTCCGTTTCTCTGCAACAGTCAAGTCATTGAAAGTCACATGGCCTCGTGCAAAGGAGAGGCTTTTATGGTTATTCATAGGAATTGATGATCTTTTCCATAATCTCAGCCTTTGCTACTAACAATATATGTTCTTATTTGGGGAAGTGATTTTATCCCCTTGATGTGTTAATAGAAAGATTAGTTTATTACTTCCACCAATAGGTAAGAAGAAAAAGGGCAACCAGTTCAGACACCATATTTGGGATGTCATTCTCCTCACTTTTGAGAAGAGTAACAGTTTGTACCAAGCAGTATCTTATTTTAGTACAAAGAGGCTTTGCAAACAATAATATGCCATAATATCTACTTAGTGAGAATTTCTTGATAAGTATTTTGTTCCCAGTAAAATAGTTGAGTGTATTTTTACATTGATGACTGTTTCAAACATAAAGAGGAAACAATGGCTACTGCAATGGCAAGTCTTGACTTTCTAAGAAGAGGTCTATAAATTTTATCTTATTTACTACTGGTGTTTTGAAATAAAAGGCTTCCTTTCTGTTTATATGTTTACATGAAAATATTAACTGTAACTTGCTAGAAGGGGAGTCAGAAGACCTAGAAGGAATCCCACAGCTTGCTCACATTTTTAACCTCTCCTTTTTAGAATTGTGATAACTGAGTACATTGATGTATGTAGACGTGGTGTAGTTCAATGCCTAGATATATATCATTTATCGATCAGTGTAATTCTTATAACTGAATATGAAATGCTAGAAAAGTAAAATACCTATAAGGAAATTTTATCTGTCTGAATATATGCAGAGCTAAGGCTCTTACTATGGAGTAATGCATAGGTTAGATATTAGAGTATAAATACAGTTTTTTACTGTAGTCAGATTTATATATCTTTCATTTTGTGCCTTTGAGTCTGTTATAATTCAGAAAAAGACTGTTCCAATTTTGAGATTCTTAAAAATTCTCTGATGGTTTCACTTTTACTTTCATAAATTCATTGTCTTAAAATAACTTTTTTAACTTTTGGGCATTTATGCTGTATAAAGTGTAAGGTTTTGATCTAACTTCTTTTTCTAGTTGGACTTCCACTTATTGTAACCCTTTTGTTGTATAAATGGGCAGATTCTCCTTTAATTTCAGAGGAAATCATGATATGTCATTGTTTTCAGTACTAATTAAAAGTTTCCTTTGTATTACTTAGATGTCTCAGAGTTATGAAAAAGAACAAGATCTGTTGCATCAGAATTGCATGTTGCAGGAACAAACTGCCATGCCAAGAATGGAAAGAGACAGAACACAAATGCAGAACCAGGAAAAGGAAGAGAAATATTTCAAGGCTATTAAAATTATACAAGAATTGTACAAGAATGAGAACCTTGAAATGACCATACAACAGACTGGGGAAACAATAGCAAACACAATACCTCAGTATGTTGGACAGCTTGCCCTTCTGGTATCTGAAAACGCAATCCTAAATGCTCAACTGGAGAATGAAAGACAAAACAAGGAAAGACTGCAAACAGAACTGGAATCATACCGTTCTCGACTGACCACTACTGTACATGACCTTGATCAAACTAAGGCATCCAGAAGACACCTAGAATTTGCTCTGGAAAGATCAAGAAATGAATCAGTTTATTTAAAGGACAAAATTAACTTTTATGTATCTTATCTAAAAGAAAACAAGGAGATTCTTTCTCAAAACCTTTCTAAAGCTGAAAATAAAATCAATAGCCTAGAAAATGAACTCCGTCACACAAGAGATGTTCTTGCAGAAAATACTTCGGTTTTAGAATGTATACCAAGAGACCTAGAGCAGACAGAGTGTGGAAGCAAGGAAATGGAACAAAGGTGTGGAAATGAAGACGGTCAAGTGAAGAAATCCCTTGCAAAGCAGGAATCTCTAGAGGAGAGAGTATCTCCACCAGAAAGTGAAAACATATTGCTTGGCCAGCAACTGGAAGGTGCTGAAAACAAAGCTAACCATAAGGACAAGGCAGTAATTAACATGCAAGGTCAATTTTATGATCTTGCAAAAAACCTTCAAACTGAGAGTGGAAACCAAAATCTTCCAGTAGAAGACAGATTAAACTCCTTAATCAATGAATTTAATGAATTAAATGAAAGACTGTATCGACATGAAAAAGGGAAAGCAGAAGAAGTAAGTATCAAGAAAGATACATATTTTTCAAAATTCTAGAAAGAAAATTTAAAGTAATATATTTGGTTGTAGCCAAACCTTGAATCTGGTTGAATATAAAAATACTTAGATGATAAATGTATTTGCAATACCAGCTTGGAAATGTACCTTGTTTCCAGCTAATAATAGTTAGAGCTGAGAAATGCTTTACTTTGAGTAAAGACATTGTGTCACCTATGAGATTTTATGAGGTTAATTTACAAATTTTCAATAGATATAAACTAATATTAATAATGGAGACTTATAGTGCTGAAAATACCGTTTTGATATCTTTATGTTGCTACATTTTAAGACCATGACCAAGGAGAGAAATGGAAATGTTCCTATCTGAAATGAGGATTTTGAAGTTAAGATTCCATTATGTGGGTTATTTTGACAGTTAAGTCCAGGTTTTAGAGATGAACTGCTCCCCCTTATCTCTGCACCTTCCCCTTTCTAGAAAACCATTGTGTACTTTTTGTCTGCATAGATTTGCTTGTTCTGAACATTTCATTAAAATAGTCATATAATATCTTACTTTCGGAAGGGCTTCCTTCAACTTAGCATGATGTTTCAGGGATCATCTGTGCTGTCACATATGTCAACACTTCATTTCTTTTTATTGTTGAGGAATATTTTATTGTATGGCTGTACCACTTACCCATTCATTAGCTGGTGGACCTTTAGGTTGCTTCTACTTTTTGGCTATTATGAATTATGTGACTATGAACCTTAATTTCCAAGTCACTGTGTGGACATATGTTATTACTTCCCTGCCATTGGATTTTATCCTCTCAGTTAACTGGGCTGATTTCAACATCTCTCTGCAGTACTCATGCTGTCCTTCTGCCTTTTCAGTTTCTGTTCATCTGACCTCATTTATTCAGACCTGCCACACAATGTCCTCTTCTTCATGAAGCTTTCTCCCTGACCTTACACTTCAGCACTTGTCTAGTCCATGCAGAACAATGTAGCCCTAAATATCCCGTTGTTTTTATTTCCTCTCACACTCTTCTGGCTGCTCCCTAAGTTACATTTGGAGCTTGGGAGGTTCAAGGTGCTCTCCCGTGACCTGGATTATGTGATTCCCCAGGGGGCACATGGACCACAGGAGGAAACTCAATCACCTTCTCCTGCATTGTGGATTCACTCCCAGTTTTCAGCTGGCCCTGGCCCTATGGGCTGCTTATGTTCCTTGTGCTTCCCAGAATTTTTAATTTCCTTTCACTTTTCTGTTGAACTCCTGTGTTCCCTTTTGTGTAATATATTCAAAGTGTGATTGTCTACACACTATTTTGGTTCTTCTATGTGGATAAGTTGTGCTGGAAATGCTTCTATTCAGCCATTCTGCAAAAATGTATCAGTGCTTAATGTCTTACTGCTGAGTAATATTTCATTGCATGGATATTCCACATATTTTATTGATCCATTCATTGGTTGATGGACCTTTGGGTTATTTCCATTTTGTGGCTATTATTAATAATGGTTCTGTGAACTTTCATATGCAGTTTTTATGTATGCATATCTTTCCATTTCAGTTAGGTATGTACTTAGGAGTCAAATTGCTGGGTCATATGAAAACTCTATTCTTAACCTTTTGAGGGGCTGCCAGTATATTTTCCAAAGTGGCTGTGCCATTTCACATTGCCGTAAACATTGTACGAGGGTTCTAATTTTCCTATATACTTATCAGTACTATTTTCTATCTTTTTGATTGAAAGAAGATTCCATCCCAGTGATGTGAAATAATGCCTCATTGTGGCTTTGATTAATGAGGAATGATGCTAAGCATTTTTTTATGTGGTTATTAGCCATCTATATATCTTCTATGGAGAAATGTCCATTTACATCCTTTGCCTACTTTTAAATTGGGCTTTCTTTTTATTTATGAATTATAAGAGATCTTTATATATCCTGTATCCTCCCTCTCAGTGATTTACCTTTCCACTTTCTTTTTTTTTTTATTTCGGCATACTATGGGGGTACAAATTTTAAGGTTTCAATAAATGCCCTTTCCCCCCTCCTCCCACAAGTCTGAGTTTCTAAGAAAGTCTCATACCACTTTCTTAATGGTATGTCTTTAAGCACAGAAGTTATCAATTTTGATGAAGTTGAGTTAATCTGTTTTTTCTTTTGGTATTATAACTAAGAAGTCACTGCCAAATGCAGTCACACAGAATTATGCTTCTGTTTTCTTCTAAAGGTTTTATAGTTTTAGCTTTTACCTTTAGCTGTTATATTTATAGATAAATTTTAGATATGGTCTTTGGAGGGAGTCCAACTTTATTCTAATGCATGTGGATATGCAGTTTTCCCAGCATCAGTTGTTGAAGAATGTACTTTTCCCATTTAATTGGTTTGTAACCCTTTTTGACAATCATTTGATTGTAAATATGAGGGTTCATTTTTTGATTAATAATTCAAATCATTGATCTATGTCTATCCTTATGCCAACAGCAAATCAAATTTTACAAGAGCTCTTTTTTTAATCATGTTGCATATTACCAGTTGTCTTATAGTAAGAAGTCAGTGTAGTGGAAAGTATTTAACTTCACTTTTTGCTTTTTGAAGGAGCCTCTGGCCAGCTTATGCCTTGCTGACTCCATGACATGATGGGAAGTCAGGCTTACAAGGGCAGAATCTGTTCTTTATTTTGACCTTTCATTCAAACTTTAATCTGTGACCTAGAGACTACTTCTTGTATCCGATTTCCATAAAATCTTGATCACAGGCTCTGCTGACTGAGTCTGTTATTCACTGCATTATGTTTTATTAAGTCATTATAATTCATAGAATTATTTATAGATTTTTGCTACCTAGGAAAGAGAAGCTTAGCTTCAGCTTTCCTCATTGCAAACTGAGATAATACAGCATCTTTCAGTTCACAGTAGATGTTCTTCTGACCTGGTACCTGGTTTTTCTCTATAGCACTAAGACATTATTCTTGGGACACACACCCCAACGGTATAGGTATGTATTAGTGGTGGCAGGGTTCTGATCTATGGATCTCCTTGTGGGTGTGCAGCAGAACCAGTGATGGCAGTAGTGGACTCCTCCTGGGTGGCACTTGTGTCAGCAATGTTACGATAGCAGTGCTTGGCCAGTCCCTGGGCCCCTGGCTGGTACATTTGGGTGGGTACTTATGGCAGTGGGGTGGGCAGGCCTGCCCATAGGTTTGCTGCGGTCATGTGTAGGAGCTGTCAGCAGTGGCCAGCTTGGCAGGGTTGTCCTTAGGCTCCTGAATTGTGTGCTGGACAGTAGGATTGTCCTCAGGCTCCTGGACAGTGTACATGGGCACTGGAAGCAGCATGTGGTGTGGCCAATCCTCAGGCCCCCAGGCTGTGGGTGCCATGGTAGTGGTGGGACATGGCACAGGCCCACTCTCTGGCCCCAGAATGTGTGCTAGCCTAGGAGGGGCGAGCTGATCTCAGAGCACTGGGAGGCATTTGTGAGTGCAGCTGGAAGAGTAGCAAAGGCACTCCTCCTCCTTAGTTGGCCTTGTTTTCAGGCTCTCATATGGCACATGCAGGTGCCAGCCACAGCAGGTTAGGTAGGCTGGTTCTGAGGCTTCTTGATGGTACATATGAACTAGCCAATCCTTGGTCCCTTGAAGTTGTGCACAAGTGCACCATGGCCCTGCCTCTGGAGTAGGCAGAGTTGCTTTCATAGTCAGTGGCCTCAGTCAGGTGGCTCTCTAGCTCTGGTGCACATGCACTCAGGCATCCTTTGTCCTTGGGCAGCTTCCCTCGTGGGCTAGACCAGCTAATTCTCAGGGGATGTTAGGGTGGTGTGTGATCTAAAGTTTGGAGCCCATCTGCACTGCTTGGTTCAGCAGGTACATGACGTTATAACCCTAGATAGGAACATAGTTGGATGTCAGTGGGATACCAGGGAGGACATGTGGGGGCTGTTGAGCCCCCAGGACAGGATGTAGGCCAGTGAGGATTGGGCTGTTAACATGGCATGGTACTGCACTCCCTCAGAGAGTGAGTAGGACTCAGCATGAATTGCCTCTGAGGAGCAATGAAATCACATGGACTCCAGGCAGCTCCCTATGCTCAGTTCAGGGCCTGTGAGGGCTGAGGGCTCCCTATGGCTTGGGTTGTCCTTGGGGGAATGTGGATCACTGGGATTCATTCCCTTCCCTATTCCCCACAATGGGGAGTCTGTCCTGGCTCTGAGCTGATCCCACCTGGAGTGGCTTCTTCCCTTCCTTTCCCTCTTTGACTCCAAATGTTGCTGTTGCTTCCCTGCTGAATTACAGAGTTCTGTCTTAGAGGCTTTGTTCAAGGTGTGGTCATCTAATTGTTTTGGTTCTTATCTGTGGAGGATGCAAGTTCTGGGTGCCTTCCTCAACTATCTTGATGATGTGTCTGTCTATGGGATGAATATTAAAGAATAAATGGAAATGTTTTGAAACCAGCACAATCTGTCCTCTGGCTACATTTTTTTGTTGTTGTTTATATTCCTCCTACTTCAAAAATGCATCAATTGCTGCTCAATAACCACCCAGAAGTGTCCTTTAATATGGCATCAGGCTCAGGCTTCAAGTGCAAGATCTACCACCATTCCAGATGGGTGTACTCAAGTGTAACATTATAAAGTCACAAAATTGTGATTTGAATCATCGTAAGTCAGCAATCATCTGTATTTGGTAAATCAACATGTGGACAGGCTGCAAATGGGAAACACATAATTGAATCCAGAAGTTCTGGATCCTTGATATTTAATTGTCTTTAGCTTATCTCCTGCATTGATTTTACTTTCACCTGCTATGGAGCAGCAGTGCCCTTTCCTTCCAGGTTTTAGCATTATTTTGTCCACTGTCCTTGAAACCCTTCCTGCCAGCCTCTTCAGGAACCATCAGGCTTCCACTGACAGTCTCCTTGGAGGTCTTTTGGTTTTCATTCCTGTTCACATCTAGGTCCTTTCAGCTTCTACCTTCTTCATGGTGCAGAGGTATCTTACATGTTTTAACAGTTGTTACTGCTCTTTTTCAATGGCAGCACCCCATATTTAGTATCAGTATCTGTA